TTTATCTCATTGGCACACAGCCCAGTTCATTCCATTGGCACACAACCCATTTATCTCATTGGCACACAGCCCAGTTCATTCCATTGGCACACAACCCATTTATCTCATTGGCACACAGCCCAGTTCATTCCATTGGCACACAACCCATTTATCTCATTGGCACACAGCCCAGTTCATTCCATTGGCACACAACCCATTTATCTCATTGGCACACAGCCCAGTTCATTCCATTGGCACACAACCCATTTATCTCATTGGCACACAGCCCAGTTCATTCCATTGGCACACAACCCATTTATCTCATTGGCACACAGCCCAGTTCATTCCATTGGCACACAACCCATTTATCTCATTGGCACACAGCCCAGTTCATTCCATTGGCACACAACCCATTTATCTCATTGGCACACAGCCCAGTTCATTCCATTGGCACACAACCCATTTATCTCATTGGCACACAGCCCAGTTCATTCCATTGGCACACAACCCATTTATCTCATTGGCACACAGCCCAGTTCATTCCATTGGCACACAACCCATTTATCTCATTGGCACACAGCCCAGTTCATTCCATTGGCACACAACCCATTTATCTCATTGGCACACAGCCCAGTTCATTCCATTGGCACACAACCCATTTATCTCATTGGCACACAGCCCAGTTCATTCCATTGGCACACAACCCATTTATCTCATTGGCACACAGCCCAGTTCATTCCATTGGCACACAACCCATTTATCTCATTGGCACACAGCCCAGTTCATTCCATTGGCACACAACCCATTTATCTCATTGGCACACAGCCCAGTTCATTCCATTGGCACACAACCCATTTATCTCATTGGCACACAGCCCAGTTCATTCCATTGGCACACAACCCATTTATCTCATTGGCACACAGCCCAGTTCATTCCATTGGCACACAACCCATTTATCTCATTGGCACACAGCCCAGTTCATTCCATTGGCACACAACCCATTTATCTCATTGGCACACAGCCCAGTTCATTCCATTGGCACACAACCCATTTATCTCATTGGCACACAGCCCAGTTCATTCCATTGGCACACAACCCATTTATCTCATTGGCACACAGCCCAGTTCATTCCATTGGCACACAACCCATTTATCTCATTGGCACACAGCCCAGTTCATTCCATTGGCACACAACCCATTTATCTCATTGGCACACAGCCCAGTTCATTCCATTGGCACACAACCCATTTATCTCATTGGCACACAGCCCAGTTCATTCCATTGGCACACAACCCATTTATCTCATTGGCACACAGCCCAGTTCATTCCATTGGCACACAACCCATTTATCTCATTGGCACACAGCCCAGTTCATTCCATTGGCACACAACCCATTTATCTCATTGGCACACAGCCCAGTTCATTCCATTGGCACACAACCCATTTATCTCATTGGCACACAGCCCAGTTCATTCCATTGGCACACAACCCATTTATCTCATTGGCACACAGCCCAGTTCATTCCATTGGCACACAACCCATTTATCTCATTGGCACACAGCCCAGTTCATTCCATTGGCACACAACCCATTTATCTCATTGGCACACAGCCCAGTTCATTCCATTGGCACACAACCCATTTATCTCATTGGCACACAGCCCAGTTCATTCCATTGGCACACAACCCATTTATCTCATTGGCACACAGCCCAGTTCATTCCATTGGCACACAACCCATTTATCTCATTGGCACACAGCCCAGTTCATTCCATTGGCACACAACCCATTTATCTCATTGGCACACAGCCCAGTTCATTCCATTGGCACACAACCCATTTATCTCATTGGCACACAGCCCAGTTCATTCCATTGGCACACAACCCATTTATCTCATTGGCACACAGCCCAGTTCATTCCATTGGCACACAACCCATTTATCTCATTGGCACACAGCCCAGTTCATTCCATTGGCACACAACCCATTTATCTCATTGGCACACAGCCCAGTTCATTCCATTGGCACACAACCCATTTATCTCATTGGCACACAGCCCAGTTCATTCCATTGGCACACAACCCATTTATCTCATTGGCACACAGCCCAGTTCATTCCATTGGCACACAACCCATTTATCTCATTGGCACACAGCCCAGTTCATTCCATTGGCACACAACCCATTTATCTCATTGGCACACAGCCCAGTTCATTCCATTGGCACACAACCCATTTATCTCATTGGCACACAGCCCAGTTCATTCCATTGGCACACAACCCATTTATCTCATTGGCACACAGCCCAGTTCATTCCATTGGCACACAACCCATTTATCTCATTGGCACACAGCCCAGTTCATTCCATTGGCACACAACCCATTTATCTCATTGGCACACAGCCCAGTTCATTCCATTGGCACACAACCCATTTATCTCATTGGCACACAGCCCAGTTCATTCCATTGGCACACAACCCATTTATCTCATTGGCACACAGCCCAGTTCATTCCATTGGCACACAACCCATTTATCTCATTGGCACACAGCCCAGTTCATTCCATTGGCACACAACCCATTTATCTCATTGGCACACAGCCCAGTTCATTCCATTGGCACACAACCCATTTATCTCATTGGCACACAGCCCAGTTCATTCCATTGGCACACAACCCATTTATCTCATTGGCACACAGCCCAGTTCATTCCATTGGCACACAACCCATTTATCTCATTGGCACACAGCCCAGTTCATTCCATTGGCACACAACCCATTTATCTCATTGGCACACAGCCCAGTTCATTCCATTGGCACACAACCCATTTATCTCATTGGCACACAGCCCAGTTCATTCCATTGGCACACAACCCATTTATCTCATTGGCACACAGCCCAGTTCATTCCATTGGCACACAACCCATTTATCTCATTGGCACACAGCCCAGTTCATTCCATTGGCACACAACCCATTTATCTCATTGGCACACAGCCCAGTTCATTCCATTGGCACACAACCCATTTATCTCATTGGCACACAGCCCAGTTCATTCCATTGGCACACAACCCATTTATCTCATTGGCACACAGCCCAGTTCATTCCATTGGCACACAACCCATTTATCTCATTGGCACACAGCCCAGTTCATTCCATTGGCACACAACCCATTTATCTCATTGGCACACAGCCCAGTTCATTCCATTGGCACACAACCCATTTATCTCATTGGCACACAGCCCAGTTCATTCCATTGGCACACAACCCATTTATCTCATTGGCACACAGCCCAGTTCATTCCATTGGCACACAACCCATTTATCTCATTGGCACACAGCCCAGTTCATTCCATTGGCACACAACCCATTTATCTCATTGGCACACAGCCCAGTTCATTCCATTGGCACACAACCCATTTATCTCATTGGCACACAGCCCAGTTCATTCCATTGGCACACAACCCATTTATCTCATTGGCACACAGCCCAGTTCATTCCATTGGCACACAACCCATTTATCTCATTGGCACACAGCCCAGTTCATTCCATTGGCACACAACCCATTTATCTCATTGGCACACAGCCCAGTTCATTCCATTGGCACACAACCCATTTATCTCATTGGCACACAGCCCAGTTCATTCCATTGGCACACAACCCATTTATCTCATTGGCACACAGCCCAGTTCATTCCATTGGCACACAACCCATTTATCTCATTGGCACACAGCCCAGTTCATTCCATTGGCACACAACCCATTTATCTCATTGGCACACAGCCCAGTTCATTCCATTGGCACACAACCCATTTATCTCATTGGCACACAGCCCAGTTCATTCCATTGGCACACAACCCATTTATCTCATTGGCACACAGCCCAGTTCATTCCATTGGCACACAACCCATTTATCTCATTGGCACACAGCCCAGTTCATTCCATTGGCACACAACCCATTTATCTCATTGGCACACAGCCCAGTTCATTCCATTGGCACACAACCCATTTATCTCATTGGCACACAGCCCAGTTCATTCCATTGGCACACAACCCATTTATCTCATTGGCACACAGCCCAGTTCATTCCATTGGCACACAACCCATTTATCTCATTGGCACACAGCCCAGTTCATTCCATTGGCACACAACCCATTTATCTCATTGGCACACAGCCCAGTTCATTCCATTGGCACACAACCCATTTATCTCATTGGCACACAGCCCAGTTCATTCCATTGGCACACAACCCATTTATCTCATTGGCACACAGCCCAGTTCATTCCATTGGCACACAACCCATTTATCTCATTGGCACACAGCCCAGTTCATTCCATTGGCACACAACCCATTTATCTCATTGGCACACAGCCCAGTTCATTCCATTGGCACACAACCCATTTATCTCATTGGCACACAGCCCAGTTCATTCCATTGGCACACAACCCATTTATCTCATTGGCACACAGCCCAGTTCATTCCATTGGCACACAACCCATTTATCTCATTGGCACACAGCCCAGTTCATTCCATTGGCACACAACCCATTTATCTCATTGGCACACAGCCCAGTTCATTCCATTGGCACACAACCCATTTATCTCATTGGCACACAGCCCAGTTCATTCCATTGGCACACAACCCATTTATCTCATTGGCACACAGCCCAGTTCATTCCATTGGCACACAACCCATTTATCTCGAAGACGAAAAATTTCGTCATCTTTACATCTTATTGTGACGAAATTATTTCCTCATCAATGATCAACATACTTATTAACTAAGATTTAACAAGTTTGAAGATGTATTTAATGAAAATAGATTCATTATCAAAATTCTTACTTAGCATGACCCTAGTTAAAATACACCCTAACCAAAGTAGAGACAAAACTAAGTCAGATAATAGCCTGCTGTTAGGTGTGTTTCCATCTGTGGATGTTGGTATCTGTATAGCCTAAGTCACAAGTATCTGTATTTAGATCTTTTTTCCATCCTTTTCATTCTCTCATCTCTCTCTCATTTTTGCTCTCCCAATCCAGAACCTTCTCATCACCGACCCCCTCACTCTATCTCATCAACGACTGTGAGAGTCTTTCTCCCAATCCAGAACCTTCTCTTCTCGTCGCCGATCTCCTTCACTTTCTCTCTTCTCGTTGTTGATCGGTCTCTCATAGTCGACATCCTAGCCCCCTCTTTTGCTTCATCTCTTTCGTCTCTCCCTGGTGAACATCAATTGACGAGAATCTAACATCACAAACCCCTCTTCGGTGAACATCAGTTGTCGAGATCAAAGATCACAAACCCTTTTCGCAGATCGCAGCCCTATTCGCAGATCGCATATCACAAGCCCAAACTCGTATGCATATTGAAATACAATTATTTTTTGTTTAAAATTTACTTCAGATTTTGGAATTTTTGCTTGAGATTGCTTGAGATTGTTGTTGTTTGCTTGAGATTTGTTGAGATTTCTTAAAATTTGTTTGAGATTATCAATAATTTTCTGGGCAAATTACACGTACACCTCCTGAGGTTTGATTAAAATACGAATCGCTCCCTATGATTCTGAAAATTTTATTCCACTTCATGTGGTTTCTAATTTCATAATAAATCGCCCTTTTTATTAATAAATCAAATCAATTAACAGTTTTTAATGATATTAGAAATATGTTTCAATTAATAATTTAACTAATTTTATTATTGTATAGGAGAACATTTATGAATTTCATTTTTTTAGTTAATTCTGTTAAATAAAAAAATTTTGACAAGGGGATATTTGTAATTTTTCAAATCACAGGGGGCAATCTGTATTTTAAGCAAACCTCAGGAGGTGTATTTGTAATTTATCCTAATTTTTTTTGAAATTGATTATTGTTGTTGTTTCCGGTGAATTTGTTTTAAAAAAAAGAAGCTGGTATGAATCTGTTTAAAACAGATCCAAAAAAAAAAAAAAAAAATGTTTAAAGAATTTTGTTGTTAATTGGGTGAAATTTGTTTTAAAAAAAATTAACTCTGTTTTTCGTAGTTTTTGCTGGGAAGGATGATAGTGGGAGGGAGGGAAAGAAACGGTTGGTTTTGGGTGAGTTGGCACAAATGGCATTTGCCAAAGCTTGTGTCAAATATCTTTGTGTCAAATTTGACACAAAAGCTTTGGCATTTGCCAAACATCTTCAACAATTGGAGAACCACTTTTGGTGCAAAGCTGCTATATTATAGCTATGGCAGCTCCAATGACAAAGCATTAGAGATGCCCCTACCTCTGACTATGGAACCATTTGCGCATTGGAATATAAATGATATGTTAAATTCATAGTATTTTTTTGGAGGGTTGACATTCTGAGAATATTAACTCTATTTCATTTTGGGATGTGGCAGAAATTGATTTATCAAGAGGGATACTAAATGATCCCACCATATTAATTTGAAACCCCTACTTCTTTGGACCCCAAGACCAAAATTGATCCCCACCATTTTTTCCAAGAACACCCACCACTATCCCAATCTCACCCCTCTTTCTTGGACCCGCACCCCTACCATGTCTTTCCTCTGGCAGCTCCCTTTCCATAAGTCTCTCCCTGCCACTTCTCCACCTCCGACAGTCGCTTCCCAGCTACGCCCCTCTCCAAAAGCCTCTATAATCTTTGTTGAATTTGTTGGGATGGTTGTTTAATATTGCATTGAAGTCTATTTTTATTTCAGGATTTTCAAAAGACAAGCTTTGTCCATGAAGAAGGCTTTGGTGGACTTGTGGCAGCTTGCCTTTTCTTACCAAGTGAACCCTCTAGCTGCTCTTCAACCTGTCCCTGCTGCAACCCGTGGAACCCGCTAATGGTGCCCTGCTATTTTATTGGATTCTTCTCAAGGCTATATAGCAATCAATCATTTTATTATTATTATTATTATTTATTTATTTATTTATTTATTTTTGTTGTACTGGTATGGATAATATTTTAGGGCAAATTTCACTTTGTCCATTGTGGACTGAAGAGCACTTGACCCTATCTAATTTATGGACTAAAGGGCACTTGACTCCATGTAATTTATGGACTAAAGAGCACTTGACTCCATGTAATTTATGGACTAAAGTGCACAGTTGCAATCAGTGTACATAACAATAAAATGTTTATATCCAGGTCCACTGTTAGGTAGCTAGTAGTATATGGGCTCAAGAAGTTTTTATGACAGCCCTCATTGCTAGTGAATGAAAGCAATGTCAATAAATTCCGTGGACCTTTTATCTTGCTGTTTCTCAATAGTGCATCAAATTTGTTTCAGATGACTGGGCTTGCTACTAGCTTTCTCAATTCATTCTTACCTAGTTGTGATGCCCCGGTTGAGATTTGTATCAATTTTATGTTGATAATTTGAACCGTTCATATTATATGGTTTATTGAGTATATCATTCATATAAAAAATGAGATTAATCGTACTGCATAGTGCCAAGATCGCACCATAATTGTTTTAAAAAATTTGTCACAATTATGCTAACCGATTACTTCTAAAAAAAATGAATGTGGCCTTGTTATAGGATATAAATGTCTACTTGACTTATTTTTTTCATGGATGATTTATTGACAAACCTTACAATATGAACGGTTCAAATTATAGAAATAGATTCTAAAAATAGAGAGAGAGAGAGAGAGAGAGAGAGGAGGGGCAGGAGTTAATAAGAGATTTAAAATTCCTACATTAGATATGTGCATGAATTGGTGATAATGAAACAAATTGATCGGAAAGAAAGTAAAACATGCTAGATTTGTGTTCAAATTGAAGAGAGACGCTATCGGTGGTGAACGGTGATGGTTAGGCGACAGTGGTAGATAACAGAATGTTGGTTGACGTGGTTGAGAGAAAAATAACGAATGCCAGTGGATGTGGCGATGACGTCGGAAATACGGTAGAAGTAGTATCAAAAACAGACCATGAAAAGAGAGAGAGAGAGAGAGAGAGAGAGAGAGAGAGAGAGAGAGAAATGACTAGTGAAAAATTAGAGAAAATAATTAGGGTTTTTAAGATTAAGGGCATTTGGTGTATGTATGTCAAAGTTTGCTCTTATCCTTTTAAAATTTAAAATTTTAGAGACTTTAGCTATCAAACTAATTTTTATTATCGTTAAACTCTAATATAAACATATATGGAGGACTTCTCCCTAATTTTTCCAAACTAATTTGATAAAAATAAATATCAAAAAAATAATTTTTGGCAAAAAATTATATAAAAATAATAAGTGTCTTTGATTTTTTTTTATTTCTTTCACGAAATTAGTTTTTAGTTTTTTTAGAAAAAAATGTCTTAAATTTTAGTCTTCGTTTGGCATTGGCTTTTTTAGCTGGTTTTTTTTTGTGTTGGGACTTTTTAGCCTGGCTTTTTTAAGCCTCGTTTGGTTTAGCTTTTTTGACTTTTGTTAGAGAAAAAGTGTAATGATTATGGTTTGGATATAACATTTTGTCTTATTGGCTTATGTAACAAATTTTGTCTTTTTGTACTTTTTTAGCCAAAAATCTAAAACCAAATGAAGCTTTAATTTCTAAAAATCAAACCAAACATGTGTAGACACCTCATTTTTGACCGTCCTCAAGACTCGGTTGTGCTTGCAGGTACATCCGGACACAAGTTCGATTGCTCGTCGGGCATTCGACTTTTGCGACGGAACGTCACAGGTTCAAGCTTTCCAGACCCTGTATCCTTTCTGCCCCATTCTTGGACCATGACTTGGTCCTTTCAGAATGTGTTTCTTAGTGCATTGCAAGCCCCCTTTTGGACCTACCGGTCCCCACTTTGTTGCTGCCGGCCATTGATTGAGCCTGCCGGCAATCAATGAGCCACTGCCGGCCATCCCTGATGGCCGGCAGCACCCCTGTCTCAGCAGGTTTCACTCTAGATCTTTTGAGCCAGCTGGAATCCTTTTATCTGCCATCCATACACATGTATGGAGGGATGAAGCTCTTGCCAAGCTTCTTGAAGAAGCTTTGCATTGCTTTTCTTCTATATAAGGAGAGAGCCTCTCTCCTTAGCAGAGGTTCAGCATTTTGAGAAGAAATATCTCTCTCTCTCTTTCTCTCTCTATTGTTGTTGATTTGTGCCTTGAAGTCCACTTTCCTTGCACTTTTACACTACAATACTTAGAGATACACCACCATCTTTGGATTGAGGTTCTTGGGAGGACTTCTTGAGCTCTGAAAGTGAGGTTTTACCCCCTGAAGTCGCTGGTTTCGAACTTGATCTTCAAGGGTGAGTTTCTTCCCCTTTTTAGCACTTTTTTGTGCCTCATTTTGGCCATCCTTGCATATTGTTTTAGGCCTTGCTTTCAACTGAAAAAAGTCTTATTTTTAAGTGCTTTTGGTGGTTGTTTAAGGTCTTTTGGCTATTGAGGGTCTTCAACTCTCTTGTTGGCCTTGTTTGGCCTTGTTTTGAGCCATGCCTTAAGGCCTCCGAGCTAGCCTTGGTTTGGCCTTCTAACCACTGAAATCCAGTGGATTTTCAGTGGTAAGAATGTGGTTTGGAGGCCTCAAATCAGAGGGGGTGGCCCTATCTCTTTTGATTTTTGTTTGCTTACATTTTTGGCCTTCCAAAGGAGCATGCCTCTCTATACTTTTGAGGCTTGGTTCAGGCCCTTTCTTGTGACTTTTACGACCCGCCTTGGCTCTGTCCATGGCTGGGTTGGTCACCTTTTGCATGCATCTTGTATGTGTAGTGTAATCCCATTTGTAGCTCATCAAAGTAGCATGTTTGCCTAGCTTGTGTTGAGTCCATTTCAGTAGGTTTTTGGTGATGTTTTACCATGCCTTAGATCTGTTTTGAGTTGGTTTTGTCACTCCATGCATGCATGATACACTTGTAGTGCAAATCTCATAAACTAGCTTTATATGCTTCTTACTTTAGCATGTTATCCTAGCTTATGTTGAGTCCATTTCAGTATGTTTTTGATGATGTTTTGCCATGTCATGACTCTTTCCATAGCTGGTTTGGTCATCCTTTGCACGCTCTATATACTTGTAGAACAAATCTTACTTACTAGCTTTATGTGCATGATGTTTTGACTCATCATCCTAGCATATTTTGGCTTTGCTCCAGCATGATTTTATTCTTATTTTGGGCTGTTCTTGGACTCTTTTGGGCTGCCATGGCCATATCACTCATGCTTTGTATAGCTATAGTGTAAA